GTTTTTTAACAATAAATAATTAGAAATCGAGAAGTTTTTGTTTATTTAAGCACAGTATTTTAACAATAAATAATTAAAAACAGCACAGTATTTAACAATAAATAATTAAAAACTGTTTAATTAAGTACAGTATTTAAAAAATTAAGTATAATATTTAAAAAATTGCTAGTTTTTGTTTAGTTGAGTACAGTATATAAAAACTTGCAAGTTTTGTTTAGTTAAGTATAGTATTTTAATATTTTAAAAATTTTTTTTTTCAATTAATCATCAGTAAATCAAATATTTCATATACTACACATATAATTTACAAATTTTTATCGATGCTAGCTATAAACAATTAATATAATAATTTACGAAATGTAAAAAGCCATAATATTTTGAAATAATTTTTGAAATATTTTAAAATTTATTACATAATATTTTGAAATTTTTATATTTCACAATTTTTCGAAATTTATTTTGAAATATTATGACTTTTTTATATTTTGTAAATTATTACAAAATATTACAGTCTTATAAATTTGCTGATAAAAGCTTTAATCAGGTACTTATCTATCTTAAAAGCTAAAAATTTATAACAAAAAAAACTAAAGAATTTTGAAAATTAAAAAGAAAAATCTTTTATGAATGCTTAAAGATTTTAATCAAGCTCATTATTAATAATCTAGAACTTAATTTTGTCATTCATAGCAACATAATAATATTTATTTCATAAATTTCTATGTTATTAGCTGATTTGCTTAAGGCTAGCATGTTGGTTAATATTTACTAGCTACTATAGATTCCTAAAAATAAACTACCATTTTTTGGATGATTTTAAGCTCAAAAAATTGGAGGTGGCTTATTTTCGGGTAAAAGCAGATTTTGCTCAATTACAAAAAATTTTACTAAGTATATCGACATGGCTTATTAAGTAAAATTATTCAGGAGATCAAAATACATATATTCTAAAAATTTCACATAAATCAAATAACTTTTTATTAATTAACTTTTGATTTTTACATTTAATGAATATAAATTTTAAAGAAATTTTAAAAAATTCATCGAATGTAATATGCAAAAACCTATTAATAAAAAGTCATCCAATTTGGATGAAACTTTTAAGATATATGTATTTGATCTTCTGAATAACTTTTACTTAATAAGCTATATCGATTTACTTAGTAAAATTTCAACTTTACTATAGAGTAACTACTTATAATTGTATAAATAGCTTATTTTCGAGCAATAGAAGTTTTTATATTTTTCTTCCAAAAAAAGAAAGTAGCTTATTTTCAGAGTAGTTTATTTTCAGAAATATATGGTATCTGCATCAAGAAGGCCTTATCATTCGTGTTTAGTATTAAAAAATGACTTGAATAATATCAAGAACTTATGATAGATAAAACAAGTAATAGAGGATAGCGAAGAATATTATAATTATTTATATACTAACTACTATTAATATATCTAATATTGTGTTTTACAAAGCAATGGTAAAGTAAATATATCTAAGCCGTTGGCGCAGCTGTTTTTACTTTGGCGATATGCTATCGCCGTCTTGTAAAACACAATAATATAATATTTGCAGAATGTGTTTTTGATTTGTTTTTACGTTAATTCAGTGTTCTTGAATCGTTAATTTGGCTACGGTCCCAGCCTAGCACTGAATCGTTGTAACAAACACATCAAAAACTGAACTTATTCCCGTGTCAGTAATTTTATTACCCTTGTTTAATTCAACTTCTGTGTTGAATAGCCTGCAAGGCAGCGTTGTTTTGGTCTTTTTTTGTCTAGAAAACTTTGAGGATCATCTACATATGCCATCTTGTGCTAAAGCACTGCAACATTTACGAGAATGATCCTCAAAGTTTTGGTTAACAGATTATAATTAAATGTGATCCTATATTTAATTTGGTTTTTTTTTTTTAATTTTTATTATTTTTATATATTTATTTTTAAATTTTTTATATTTTAAAATAAAAAATATTTATCAATATTGGTTTATCATTTCATTCTAATCAAAATTCTAATCAAATAGATAGTAAACTTTTTTTGTCCTCGCCAGATAGGCTTTTTTTTTGGCTACCGCTAGCCTTGCAATTGCTTATGAGTTGGTTGTGTTGTGTTGTGGTTGTGCAAGAATCAAAATTTTGATTTGAATTTATAACTGGGGCCCAACACCTAGTTGTCAATACAAATCGATATTTGATTCTTGAGAATAACTTTTTCTAAAATTTTTTGTAAATAACCTTACCGGTTAGCAACCTCGCCGGTTGACAACCTTGCCGGTTGGGAATCTTCTCAAAGCCATTAAAGCAAGATCATATATGTTGATATTTTGATATATTGTGAGCCTCGATGTTTATGAATTACAAGCTATGCTTGTAATTAAACACATCTCATTAACAATATATCATCAATATCATTTAAAATAAAATTGCAGATATTTTTTAAATTATAAAACAAAATATAATAAGATTTGAAAACAAATATATTTAATAATTTTTATTTTAAATAAAAATTATAACAACATTTCTATTTAATTTTGTAGCCATAATCCAAAATAACAATATTTCTATTCAATTTTGCAAATATAAAGAAAATTAGCCATAATCTAAAATAAATAGTAATAATATTAACAAATAAAACTTCAACAACACGAATTCTTTTTAATTCTGTCATATTTACATATAGAATACAAAAAATTGGCCACAAAAATTTTCTATAAATTATCTTAATATAATGAAAAACAATTGGTACTTGAAAAAAATTATAAAGGTTTAAAAATTCTATAAGACTAGTCGCATATTGATTATTTGTGATCCATGTAAAATTATTAAACAATCCAAACACGAAATTTGAAATAAAATTATTAAATTCTTTCAAATTTCCTGTTTTGTAATGATCTCATTCATCTTCAGCATCTCTCAAAACTATTCTTAATGCAGTATTTAATTGTGTCAAATTTTTATTTGCTTCATGAATCTGTATATTATTTGCTTCGAGTTGATTCTTTTCATTTGTAAGCTCATCATTTCTATTTTTTAAATATATATTTTCACAAATTAATTCATCTTTATCACCATTTAACATGATGATTCTTTGGAGCAATTCATAATTTTTTGTTTGTAGTCTCAAATTTTCTGCATCTACAATTTCACCGCCTGTTATTCTCGGTTGATTCATTTTGTTTAGAAGTTATTCTTTTATGTTATATGACCTCTATTTATTTTTATAGTGCCAGTTCTATATTAAAAATTAAACTAAAATTTGTAGATACAAAGCAAACTTTATTTAAAGATTTTTTATTTTAATTATTAATTTTTTTATTTTTATTAATAAATATAATTTATAAAAAAAAACAAATTCAAAAAATAAAAAAAAAACAATTTTACAAAAAAAAATTATATTTTTGTAAAAAATAAAAAAAAAAACAAAATAAAAAAAAATAAAAAAAACAATTTTTTTAAAAAAATTAATCATCGACCGGTTCATATTTCTCTTTTAGAGCAATATATTTTTTGTTTAATTTAAAATATTCGCTATTTGTTTCTTCAACTTCTTTTTGAAGTTTAACAATATTTTCGACAATTGATAAGCCTTTGTTATATTTTTTAAATACACTTTTACAATTTTCTTTAAGTTTGTTACAATCATGATATGGAGATTCTTTTGGTACTTCTTTTATTTTTTTTTTTATTTCAAGAAGCAAAAAGATAACTGTTTCAATATTTTGCTCCAAGGAATTATTTTCCATTCTAAAAAAAAAATAATAGCTATTAATTTTGTTTGCAAACAATAAAAAAATATAATAATAAACTCTATCATTAGTTAAGAACTTAGAAATCAATATGCATATAAAGACGAATAGTGACAAGCCAGTCGCTTACAAAGTTACTATCCGTGTGTTCAATAGACTAAGCCCCAGTTACTTAGACAAAAAAACACAGAAGTTCTTAACTTTAACTAGTATATTAATCATCTAGATATATAAAAATAAAAAAAAAATGAAAATACTAACTTTCGAAAAAAACTATCGCGAAAAAAAAAGAGAAACAAAAAAACAAAAAAAAATAAAAAAAATTTTTTATAGATTATCAAGTACAAACAAAATAGTTAATCAATAACTAGAATTTTTTTATAACCAAAATACTCGAGTATATATTTCTATATTTGGCTGAGTACTTTGAATCTATTACTATTTGATCAATCAAATTTAAGCATTAAATTTATGTATTGTTACTTAAATTTTACATTATAATTTATGTATCATTATTTTAATTTTTTGATCAACAATATATTATTATTTTAATTTTACGATAAATTTATTATTGATCAACAATATATTATTATTTTAATTTTACAATAAATTTATTGTTAATCAGCAATATATTAATATTTTAATTTTACTTGTTGATCCTATATAAATTGTACGTTAAAATTCAGAGTGGAGCTCAACATATCTGTTGATCTTGTATAAATTGTACAGTTAAATTTTTAGATTAGATCTCAATATATCGATAATTATTGTATAAATTGTATGTTAAAATTTAGAGTGGAGCTCAACATATTCGGAAATTGAACATTAAATTTATTATATTATCAATATGAATTTTACAATAGTGCATGTTATTAATTATTTATTGTTAAAATACTGTGCTTAAATAAACAAAAACTTCTCGATTTCTAATTATTTATTGTTAAAAAAC